TGTATAAAACAAAAATATATTGAGTAGCAGAGTTTAAACGAGGTCGTCGAACGAAGACGAACATCGCAGTGGTAGAACAAATGGTGAAGAAAATTTACAAAATAGTATTGGATAACCGTCGACTGAAAGTGCGCGAGCTGGCAGATCGGTAAGTATTTCAAAATATGCTGTACATAACATATTGACTGAAAATTTGGTGACGAGGAAGCTTTGTAAGATGTGTGCTGCGTTTGGTCACAATCAAGACAATGCAGCAGTTCACACAGACGTTATCGCTTCCTAAAGATGGCTCGGTGGTAAATGATTTGCCAACAATGAAGATGTGGACTATGCGGTTGCTTGCTATTTTGTAGAGCTCGTTGGTTCTCACTATAAACAGGGTTCGTTGGTTCTCACTATAAACAGAGTATCGAGTAAATGTATCGAGCTGGAAGAAGACTATGTTGAGATATAAAGATATTTTATCCATTTTTTGTGTGTTTTCTTTATTAGGTATTTCTGGGATTACCCTCGTAGCTTACGTGGACTAGAACGCAGTCTTTTTGATATACCATATAGTGTTGGCTAATTCATTTATTTATACGAAGATAATCATTTCCGTGTTAATTGTTTGTTATTTACTTTATTTGAATTAGGTATATGAATTAGTTTAACTGTTTTTATTATACTGTTTCACCACAATCGACACATACTTGTTAAAATTAGCATTTAGTATGGCCCTTAATATGGAAAACCAAAGAAAAGATGAAGGTGGATTGAAAATTATTCTGTTGGCCATGCATTTTTCTTTCTCAAGTATTAAATCGTATATTTTGAACTAAATTACATCAGTAAAGCATGCAAGAGGCACGAATGCTTTCAATCTTACATATGTTCTACTGTACAATTCAAAAAAGGAAGCTCGTATAGATTTTTTTTAGTGCGCAAGAAAATATTATAATGCACAATAAGGAAGTTAATGCAAATCGATACATTTTATCGAAATTAATAAACGATATCTGTTTTTTTGAGAAAACAAGAACTGCCTTTACGAGGAGCATCACGAATTAGAGAATAGAGGAAATCATGTTGCATTGCTATATCTACTCAGTGAATTTTTTTATACAGCCCTAGTTGAAAAGTCAATTTTGCAGCTGTGATAAGACAACGCGCAAGTTTTTTCTTTGAGTTATGTTTTTTTTTTCAAACCGTGGCTCCATCTGTAAGCGTTCTGCGAACGATATTCACGACATTTTGCAATGCGAACATACATCGCCTTTGCTTTTTTGTTTGTTTGAAGGGGATTTGATCAGATTGATGAAACTCAATCACAGGACGTCGTTTTGTCCGTCTCTATGTGAGTGAGTGCGCGTGTGTTTGCACCGTTTTTCAATATTTGGATTAACATTTCCGGCGCCCGATTAAACGTACTAACTCATCTGACTTTGACGTTTGCACGAACGTAAAACAAAACAAAAAACGACGACAGAAAAAAAATAACAAACAAACTGATTTATTGGTGTTAGGTTTTAGCGATTTAAAACAGATATTTTCGAATGAAACAAAAGAAAAAGTATAATGTTTAATTTATATCTTTCTTTCTCTCTCACTATATTTTTTGATAATTCTATTGTTACTGTTGTCTGCTAATATTTTTAAAGGATCCTCCTGCATCCGCCTCGTATCTTCTTCTGACCGGACGTGCACGGAAAGTCTATGATGTTGGCCTGATCGGTACGCATCTTCTTGCTCAGATCGCTGATGTTGAGAAACTTTCCATCGGCAAAGGTAATGCAGACTAGCAGCAGGACAACGCACAGCAGGAACTTCTTCGGTGACATGGTGCTCGATCGAACGATCTAATGCTCTTGTTCACTATTTACTTGTGCAAATCTCTGTGGATTTCCGGCATTGCGCTATGCGCAAACACATTTTATCAATTTGTTCGAACTGTATATTACGCCACAAATCAATTATTATTTTGATTGTGCATTTTTAAGGTCAAATAAATCCGTCTTGAAATCAAAACAGACATATTTGTAAGAAATGTGTAGATGAGGTTTATATTTGAATTTAGAAATTGAATATTTTTTGAAGTTAATGTCGATTCGATATGCGCTTTTAATATTCAGAAATTTATTTATTTTTAATTTATTAATTTTAATTAAATTATTAATGTAACAATCGATTATTTATTATTTTCAGAGCTAATTTTGCACGTTACATGTAAAACTGGTATCCATTAAGTGCTAGGTTTTCTCAATACACGACATTTTTGTTAGCAAATTTAGTTTTGACCAATTGTAGTTATTTGGTGTTTAATTTCATCAATAAAATTTTCTATTTAAAGCTCGAATGTTAGATATAATAATTCGGTTAATATTTATTACTCAACTATCACTGTTGCAATATCAAAAATTTAAATTTTAGATATTAGAATAACAATTAGTACAGAAAAACGCCGATTATTACAAACATCGTTTCTATTTACTTTACAAAGCTAAGTATTGATATACAAAAACACATTTTTGATCATTTTAAAAAAATATTTGACATTTGCCACCGTAATGTATAAACGGATTTATTATATAACGTTAACGTTGTTCTATCATAGTTTAGGCGGGGAGTGGAAGCTAGGGGGACTTCATGAATCCATAGTAAATTTATATAATATTTGAAAAAAAGATCTGTCATTATTTTTTTCTGCGACACCCAAATATTTTTTTCGCAACCGTCCCCTTTTTAAGAATCATTGGGTTAGATGGAACTTATATTCGAAAATAAAACGCAAAAATATGATTTATCGATGGTTTACAAAATTTAATCTATAAAAGGTATTTTGACAGATAAGTAAGTACATTTATAATAGAAAAAAAAACAAAGAACTGTTAAAGTAAAGTATCAGAGATATCGGGTGACCGGCTATTATTAATACAACCCGGATTTATTATATATACAGTTAACCTTTGTATGACGCGATTTATAAATACCTATTCTAATGTTTATTATGGGAAATGCTTTGTATATATAATATCTTATTTATGTAATTACTAAAGTTACTGCAGATAGTGTATAATTTTAATTGTAAAGTCACAATTTTACATTCAGCAGAATTTAAGGGCATTATAGGAATCTTAATAATAGAAAAAAAAACATGTTAAAATATTGAAAGAAATGTATGTTATTTACTCGAAATATACATATTTCTGATTTTCTATAGTGGCGGCTCTTAAAATGTAACAAAATTATATTTTGAATATTATTCAATTTATTTATCGAATATAAAGCGTTGCCACAACAAACATCAACATTAAATGGCCGTCGCGGTGACACATGGAGAGGTATCAATAATTGGTTGTCATGGTAACAATAATAATTACGTGAATGTTTGCATACCTTCAGTAGACCCTTCTGCAGCGGCCGGTGCTATCCTTCTTCATTGGACTTTCGCAGGCGTTCACCTGCACTATGTGGGCTGTCTGGATCTTGTGTTTGGAGCGTATGAAGTCCTGCGTGTCCACCCATTTACCGACGACAGAATCCAGATGGATCGTGAGTAGGCAGACGAACAGAATGAAAATCAAACTTTTCATTTTTGTTGTTTGTTGTTGTCGTTGTACTATTTCAATTTTTGGAAGACTTTAACGTGAATCGTTCTAGCTTTGATGATTCGATATCCGAATGTCGATTGATGGTTCTTATCTGTGGCTTCACTCCGGCTCTTATCTACACACTGAACGTTATGCAATCGCGTTAATCGATGATGAAGTAGATAAAGGAATTGAAATACAATACGGACGTGTTTTGATTATAGTTCTAGTTGCGTGCTGGATACTTGCAATTGTAGATCCGCCTGCATTCCATATATTGGTCGAGCTTGTAGCAGGGTCCGGGGCAGGTATTCCAGAAGAGCGCTCTGTATTGCAGCGGATAATGCGGTAGGGCCTCGACGAAGAAGGAGGCGCACAGGACGATCAGCAGCAGGACGGTGGCTTTCGAATGCATCTCGGATAGATACACAGGTTGATTGCTCGATGTGCGAGTCTTTTATTTCTAACCAAAGTCTGCAAAATATTTGCCATTCCGCCACCTTTGATTTATAGCACCTTTCACTTGTTAATCCTCTAGCTAAAAATGGACAAACGGACAGAGAACGACAGGATGCATGGTTACAGCTTACTTTGCAAACAATGCGAATATTTTAATTAAAGTACAAATACAGTTATTATTTATTACTTCTTTGCAAATATTATCAACTATATTGCACAATAAAAATAGTAATCAACTAGTTTAAATAAATTATTTATAACATTAAAAATTCGTATTTTTTTTGATGGCGTACTCTAAAATATCCATTTATTCCTAAATAAATTTAAAATATATAAATTAAAATTTATATAAATGAAATCATTTGAATGTATAATCTAACTTTAAGAAACATTTTTTTTTCTCTTACAGTTTCTTTACTGTTGAGAAGTTTCATAATATTGATACTTGAATCAATAATTACGAAATTGATATAACAATAAAATTTAAATAAATTTTATAGGGTAATCAATGTTTTAAAGAATTGGTTAAAATGTTTGGATTCAGCTCTTCGACTCCTCACCAAAATACGACATCTTAATAATACTCTACACAATCCTCCTAATGAATTCCTTTACTCCAAAATCAAAAGAGTTCCTCTGCTTGAGCGATACCTTTCGCTCTCCGTGAAATTTAAATCAGAAGAATCCAATATCGCATCTCTCTCTAGATTCTGTATTCCCGAAACCCAAATATCCATCCCAAATTTAAATATCTTACCCTTTTTCTAGTTCCAATCGTGGCTGCTTTTTGTCTTTTTTTTGTATGTATATTTTATTTTATATCATTAAATTTATCTTCCCGGGCTGATTTATATATCTTTTTATTGTTAATATCTTGCTAATAAACTATTATTAATTATTTGGATTTAATGAAAACTAATATTTTATTTTGTTTTCATTTAATTATTTTCGTTATCATTTTGGTGCTTTTTGTTGTAAATTTTAATAACAATTAAATGGATGTTGCTGAAATTATATCTTTTGCTGTTTTCTTTTGTTTATATACTTTATTCTATATATAAATGTAATTTTTACAATGAAGCAGATACGTATGGTTGGAATTTTTGATCATCCGAAGATCCATGAGTTGACAGGTTTTGGGTCTTCCGAGCTGACCTCCTCCTCTTCGGTTGGATTGGAGGTTGTGGATTCGTCATAATCTCGGGTAGTGGTTGAAGTGGAGGTGGTGACCTCGACGCCGTTGTACATGTGGATGTTGAGGCTTTGGCTCTTGGTGCCGTCCGAGGTGATGACTCGATGAAACTTGCTGATTATTGGTTTCGATTCGACAATGTGGATGGTGCGGTTCGTGAAAGATGTGCCCTGATTTGAGGGGACTGACTTATCGCCGATCTGCACGTTGTGGAAGTTGTTGATCTCCAACGGCGTTTGCGTGGTGACTTCACCGTCGATGTCGACGATCTCCGTAGGGATCTTTGCGTACGGATCATTGGGGATCGATGGTTTCATAGGGTACGGATACCATGGGATCTGTCCGTATTGCGAAATCGGCGGGATAGGAGGAATAGGTGGAATGTGGTGCGGAATTTGGGGATAGAACGATGGTCGGTAGTATGCGTATCCTGGATTTTGGAATTGGGCATTGGGCCGATATTGGGCAGTGGCGAGCATCGCCACTACCACCACTAGAAGAAGAACCGTTGATACAGCTGACATCTCGAAGACTGAAGTGCGTTCTCTCCTCTTCATTTAACCAAATCTATGTAGGTTCCAACCTTTGATCTCTGCTCTATCTCTATGCACTATCAACGAACTATCCGGACATCAGAGTGCGACATCTTCGCCGTACAAAAGACTGACCCGGCGGACAATTGTGCCCAATGTCTATAATCATCCTGTTTACTATGGTCGTCGCAGATACCGCTGTAAAATGCGATACCCTAATGAATCAACCGCTTCAAATACTGATAACACACACACAAGTCCGACACACTTTCGCAACCACAAAAATAAACAAACAAAAATACAATCACTTACTGTTCCCCGACGACTCCAATTGGTCCGGAAAGACGAAGTCCGAATCGTAAAATGGTTTCGCCGAAAGCTCGCTCAACACCAGACACGTCAACAGCAACCGAAGAATAGTCTTCATCTTTCAGGGAAATAATAATAGAAATTTTACTTCAACTCTGTGCGCGATGCGAAGCAAGAAAATAAAAACAATTTGCAATAAGTTGATAAATTATATACTTTATAGAATACTGCATTTACAATATGCATAACCTGAAACATGTCTATCAGGCGTACCAATTACAATTGAGCACAATTGAGTCCGAAGGCGCTCAAACTGCAATTACTAAAATGTGTATATGGTTGGTACACCTGTTATTTACGATAAATATAGCACATAGTAAGGGTGTATCAAAATGTCCAATCAAACGTCTCCTCTTTAATGCATGTTTACCAGAATATAATTCGTCCAGCAATGAATATAAATATGCTGCCTTTCTACTGTTAAAATGATTTTTTTTGTTCTTCCTTGTATGTAAACTATAAGAAATGTAATATGCTTATTAGCATTACCAAATTGTTGTATCATTTTGCTGCATTTAGAAATCTAAGGTGCGTGATAAAAATAGATACAACTGCATAAATATTAAAATGTCTTATTTTTGACCAAGAAAAGTCATTTTATAATTAAAAAAGATTACAAAATTTAATGTTTAAAAATACAGCTTTCATGTTAGTGTGTATTTATTACTAAATAATCTAATCTTAAATGCACTTGCAAACAGTTGTATTTGAATTGTAGACATATCTGATGGTAGAGATCATCAGTATAAGTTTGTTGAATGAAATATTGTTCGTCCGATGAAAGTGCGAAGGTAAATAAAATAGAATAAAAGATGCATTTATATATTTTTGTTAAGTTTAATGTATGAGAAATATTATTATTTATTATTGATGGGTTATTTATTGTAAAGAGAAGTGTACATTGGGTATTGAAGAATTTAGAGCTTAAAACAATGATTGTTCGAAAGATCAAACGTTTCTGAAACGTGGACTGTACTACGGTCAGTTCGTATAACTGCTAACAATTTTCGTCACTCGTATAAGCTGTCCGTCTGTATCGATTGGCTATCTGTTTTAACATTTCATGTTGATCCCAGAATCGAAGCTGTCATTGTTTAGATGAATTAAACGTCAGATTTGATGTTCGTCTTCATTATTTCCAATTTTATTTCTCATTGTAATTCATTTTTTATGACATAAAATAACAGGAACTTGAACGATAGACATTACTGTAAAAAAGAATCAACAGCATGAAAATATTAAATAACCAGGGATGTGAACTTTTCCTTCAATTAAATAATTAATTAACATACATATGTGATTCTGAAAATAATAAGTGTTTGTTTGTTGATCTGTTTTGCATAATGCGCATATATAATTATAGCAATTACGTTTAAATCGAGTTGATATGTTTATTTGCTTGCAGTAAATACATCAGGTCAAAGAGAGATAAAAACGAAAAATAGACTGGGAGGTGATAAAAGGGTACGAAATGAGTATAAATAACTTAAGAGAAAATTACGTGGAGATGAGTCTTGTTTATAAAAAGGATATTCTAATTGTGAAAATGGGAAGGGTCAAAGATTGCTATTTATTATCATTTTTTTTATTTCTCAATGAATACACATTAACTAGATGTGTTTTTTTAATTACTTACAGTAAAATTTGTCCATGGATGTTTGGCATTTAGCAAATGAAGAAAAGAAAGAAAAGTGAAAGATTATTCAATTTTGCAAGAATCTTTTGAGAAATCACACGTTTCGGCTGTTCGCCTCTAACGATTAGTTATTTGTCATCGACGCCTCATGCGCTCTTTTCTTTTTCTAATGCAATCGAACTCACCTCTGATGTCAGAATACTTTGAAGATGTCGGTCGAAGTATTATATACGTCAAATTTGACGTTTCTCTTGTCAATAGCAGAATGGAGGAGGCTGTGGATAGTATGTTGAAACAAAAATTATGTACACGAGTGACTAGTAAATGTCAAAAGGTGGAACTATGAAAACGAATAAAAAAAGACAAAACATGTGTTTATTTGCGTTTGTAATTCATTTGAATAGTGCGTTTTTAAGGACAAAAGAAATCGTTGATTTAGATTGAGTGTAATTTGGATTTTAGATATTTATCACTATCTCTCCGCTGTTCTATAAGTTTCAACTTTGCGGCAACGTCCATTGATATACTTGAAACCTTCCTTACAGCCACCAAAATTAAAAGGAACTTGAATCACAGTCAGGACTAAAAAAAAAACATCAATATTTGTTGTTGCACCTCATATTCATTACTTACATTGTCCATGGATGCTGCTGGTGTTCAAGAGAAGAATGACAAACAAGGAAAGAAACAACAATGAAAGAGGAATACGTTTGTTATACATTTTTTGTGAGGAATGCAATCAGGACTGGTCAAGAGATCAGACGTTTCTGCGAACTATGGTCAGTTTGCATTAAAGTATTTTCGTACTCGTATCAGCTGCTCGCTGGTAACGATTGGTTATTTGTAATCGATGTCCGGTCTTCGTCTTTATAAACATTATCGAAATGACCTCTTAAGTCAATATGAGAATATACGTCAAAATTATCATGCTGACTTAGACGTCAAATTTCATTTCTTGCCATCACATTGGATCTGTCGCAGAAAAATATAAATCTCACGTTTCAGCAGACTCAAGTTCAACGTTTCTTGGTTATATTTAAAAACAAATTCTCCTTAAATGATATTTGCAAAGTAAATTACGTAACAACTTATTAAAATAATGCAGAAATAAGTACTTGAAGATGGATTTTAAGAAAGTATCTATTATAAGAAGGATGTCCAGGGAGTATATCGATATATAAAATTGAATAAAATCACTTTTTAAATTATTTCAGATTATAAATTATATAGTTATGACTATATCAATATTACTGTTGATATATCTGATATTTACGATATTTAAATATACGAGTGACCAAAATTTGTAAAGATTTTAACAGTTTTTTCTATAATTAAAATGAAATGAGAATACTGAAAATTCTAACACAGAGGTCAAGAGCATCGAAATCAACTGTGATTAATATAAGATTATAACACAAACGTAAAATGAATATAAAACTATGTCGACATATTTTAATGGAAAATTGAAAAAAATAATAAATATGTAGTGTTAACAAAAAAATGCACTTATGGAGTATTCTTATATTTCATATATTGAATGAAACAAATAACTAATATTGTTATAAACTGGAAGACTACAATCCTTCTTTATTCCAAATTTCATTATTGCGATACCGTTCATGAACGAACGAACATTTTTCACACGGATTATTCCGATATACAGTAGAACCTCGCTTAACGAGTTTAATCGATTCCAAAATTTCCGGATTTTTACTCGTATAGTGAAACATTTTAAAAAATACACATAATATTTGTACACAAGTTTTAAAAATGATGTACAGGCACTCGATATGCGAAACGTCGCTCGCTTTCTTACAATTAATTTTGCTCGTTAAGCGAAATACTCGTTATGCGCGGTGCTCGTTAAGCAACAAAGTTAAATATGATGAAATTAATATAAAATAATTAATTTTTCAGGCAGAAAGACCCATGGTCGATAGCACTTTGCAGAGAAAGATTAAAAAAAATATGGAAAATGCTCAATACTTTAATGATGGGTCTCGTGCATATTAGGTCTCCTTTTTGAAATCTGACATTGATATCTCTACAAGACAGAAGAACAACAATAAAGAAATAAAATAACATAAAATGTAAAAGAAGGCTGCGTTTAATATGCATTTTCGTAAGTATTGTTTTCGTTGTCAGTTTTTAATTCTGCGGAAAATTTGACATACTTGTATCGGCTGGTGAAGTGTAGCGATTGGTTATATGTAATCGACGCATATTCGATTTTTCCAACACTGTCGAATTGACGACCTCTAATGTCGATCCATCGTAATTGACATAAACGTCAACATTGGAAAAAGCTGATTAAAGAACCGATTTGTGGATTTAATAAATAAATGAGTAGTGTTATTAATTCCGTTTGTCTTCTCTCTTGAATTCGTTTCTCTACAAGATTCAATTCACGTTACAGAAACTTGAATATGCTTTCAATTGTTAATAAATTTGTATATTGTCGTTCTAGGCTTCTTTCTAACTTTTTTTTATTATGTCATAATATAAATAATTTACAATCTTATTACTGCGAATATTAATTAAATCTAATTGCTGTGGACAATTTGCTTTTTGGAAATTTTTCTTTATATTCTTCTGTAATTTGTTGGTTGGATGCGGTCTTGTAGGTTAACTTCAATTTATTTATTTTAGTTAAATTAATCCATTACTAAAACTATTGTCTGGAAATGGTATAGATGACTTTGAAATAAAAAAAAAATCGAACAAGTAATTTTCATTAAAAACAGAATCTGAATATTTAAATAAATATTTTGATGGGTCTACTAATGCAGTGCTCTCCAACCTTTTAATCGCCGGTCAACGTTTGATAATGTTACCGCGGCCCGCTGAGGGACAAAACAGTTACACCAAAATGAATATAAAGTGATTTAACATTTAACGCGCTAGATTCTAGTGAGTTAAAATAACATGAAAATAATTTAATGTTCCTTCGGCTGGTCCACGGACCAGGGGTTGGGGACCACTGTGCTAATGTATTAAATTTTCAATTAAAAAAAACCTGTAATTTACCGGTTAACCGGTTTTTACTAAAAATATTTACCGTTTACCGATAAATAAAAATCTTCTACTTGATTGTATATACAATCTGATTGATTGATTGAATAAACATTGTCAATGTTAAAACCTAATGACTAACTATTAAACGATATTTGCAAAGTGTGTAAGTTTTGTAAGTACTTGTTAAAATAGTAAAGAATAGTTTTATTTCTGGACTAAATACATGTGAACGTTATGCGTAATATGTCACATACATGTCGTGTAGTATTCATTTTAAGAAATTCTCTAGGATAAGAAGAATATAGTCAGATCTATTAAAATATTCTACATCAAATTTATTAATTACTTAAAATATTGCAATTTAATATAATCGTTGCTATACCTGATATTTACGATAGATAACACGCATATTGTGGATGGATTAAATGATGTAACTCAATTTGGAATGATTTCCTTAAATAAATGTGCACAAAATGTATTACAAATTGATTCAATATATTTTATAACAATTTCCATTTTGTTGACTTGTTTTTTGGTGTAATCCGACATAATAATGTGTATGTCTGAAGATTGAAATCTTGAAATACTTCTTTCTTTGTTATCAAATTCGAATTTTTCGACATCTTCCACGAATTAATCTGGCGGCATCTTCACAAGGATTATTCGCTGGGACCTGAATAACTCTTTTCTGATCTGCAAAAAGGAATCAACAGCACAAACATTTATTGCAATTAATGTTGTTTACATAACAAATTTTGATAAAAAAAAACATTTTCAGCACATTGCAACAGATCAATTTATTTTTATTATGTTATATTGAGTTTGTATCATAGTGATTCATTGCAATAAATGTTAATATTGTTACATATACTTTTTAATACTCTGTTTTCAAAGTCTGGATAAAAGGCAGCCATCTTGTTTATATAAAACTGTCATAATAGGAATGATTATAAAATGTTTATTTGCTCGATGCACACATTGGGAATAAAAGGATTTAAAGCGTTACTTACAGTTATTTAATTTAACTTTTTCTTGTAGCATTCTGTCGTTATTGTAATGTTGTCCGAAAACATCGCAAGCGTTCAACAGAAGAAGGGCAACAAAAATATAAAATAACAAAGAATTATTGCTGAACATTTTCTAAATTATTGCGCTTATAATTATAGTCCGACTGATCAGAGTTTTCTGGTTAGTTTGTTTCAACGCGAAAAAAATCGCCTACTCTTATCATCAGTTCGCTTGTAGCGATTGGTTGTAATCGACGCCTCTTTCTTCTTTTTTTCACTAGCGAACTGACCTCTGATGTCGATCGTAGGATACTACGTCGAAATTTATTTTGACGTTTGTATTATCGTGTTCCGGTTGAAGGAGCTTTGGAAATAACAATTGAAATGAAAAGTTAGTGAAATTAAAACAATTATTAATAAATATCGTAAATAAAACAAATTATATAAATGTAATTTAAAACATTAAATTTTTTGTACTTCAAATTTTAACACAGTAACATAGAGGTCATATGCACCAAAACTAATTATGATTTCAGTATATTTTAATAAAAATGCTGAAAATCAAAAATTAAAATAAAAAATACGTGATTTTTTTTACACAAATGTTTTAACCATTCGAAGAGCCAGACAACTGAATTAATCAACTTCCAATTTTGAATCAGTTGACGAAATTGTCTGATTCAACATAAACCTCTTCTACTGCCCTATGAAATTCTTCCCTTTCTTCGACATTTTCTAGAAAATTAAAAGAATGCACCACTAGGCATGTTCTAAAGGTGGGACTATGCGTGTCCCACTGCCCCTCAAAGAGTTAACTGATAAAAAAACACTTTTTGCTCAAACTTTTCATTTAAGTTTAGTGTAGAATAATTGAGAAATAAAAGAAAAAAAACTCATCATTTATTCATATTTATACTCCAATGGAATAAATTAAAAAAAATAAGTTTGCAAATGGACATCATAATGTGTAGGTTTTAAGACTGCAATCGTGAAAGTCTTCTTTGTTACCAAATTATAATTTTGCGACAACGTCCACGAATGAGCGTGGCGGCACCTTCACAAGGATTATTCGCTGGGACATGAAGAACGGCTTGCAGCGGATCTACAAAAAAAAATAATAGCAAGAGAAACAACAGCATTTTTATTTGTTGAAGTTTCTGTTGTATATAAAAATGGTAACTTCATTTTGTATTTTAATTTTGTAATTACGAATCAGGCATCGTTGACAGCCATCTTGTTTATAAATAATTTAAGGTAAATAAAAGAATAAAAATTGTTTATTTGTTATTGAAACTGTTTGATGAAACATATTGATGGATGAATAAGAAGATTAGCATTAGGAGAATTAGAAATAGGAGAAATTACTTACTGTAATCGAAATTACCATGTTTAATTTTGTCGTTGTTGTAAAATTGTCCGAGACTGCTGCTGGCGTTCAACAGTAGAACGGCAACAAAGATATTAAGCCACAAAGTATAAAATGGAGCATGTTTAATAAGCATGTTTTAATAAGAAAGAACTGCAGCAATTATTGTTCGAAAGATCGGAGCTTTCTGCGACAGATCCAGTCTTAGGTCAGTAGGTATCAATTTTGCTATCTATTTTTATCAAGTCAGTAGCGTCTTCATGTTCGGTTAATTGTGTTAGTATGTACCGCAAGGTTATGCCCGGATAAAAATGGATAAAACAACAGCTGCAACGTTTGTGCAAGTAAACTTGGCTACAAAAAAGGAGAAATAAGGTTAATGATGGTATATATCGTATATGCTCATGTCACCTTTACCATGACAAAGGACTTCTGTCTACCAGTGACCTCTAGATAGAATATTAACCTGGAAAGATCACATTGCAGCAAAATAAGAGCAACTAGAAATTAAGTTCAGGAAACCGAAATTACGGGAAGATTCGCCAATTTCGAAAAAACTCAAACTATTGATTTATACAGTAATTTTAAAACCTGTCTGAACCTATGGAAAACAGTTGTGGGGAGTCAGCAACAAGTCTATTATTGTGATCATACAAAGTCGAAAAGCCTAACAAGGATCATTGGTGCATGGTACATTACGAATAGGAGAATTCATGAAGACATTCAAGAGGAAACAGTGGAGGAATAAATTATCAGAAAAAAGGCTAGACAGAGATCCAAACGAATTGGCTGTCAGTTTTCTTGATAATAGCCTAACAATCCAGGGTCTGAAGCGATATAAACTACATCTATTATTAAGATTCAATAAATAATCAATATGTAAATAATAATAAAAATTTGGAGTTCTTTTCCAAATTTATGACTTGCATTTTAATCAAGGAAACGGCACTGCGATTAGTTAACAGCGATCGTCATCCCTTCCGCTCTTTTAACTTTTCCAATGTTATCTGTGATGTTGATCAGAAATAATCCAATATTATGTATTTGATAGAAAATAATTAAAAAACTGAAGGCAGAAAATATTTGAATTGAATATGTTTATTTGCTTGAAAAAATCATTTTAATTGATATTGAATATTATATATGTAGATATCATATTATCCTGACATCAGAGTACGACATCTTTTCATAACGAAGGTTTGGCCACTTGGACAATTGCTGCCGATTTCCAGTAGGATCCTACTTTCTATGGTCGTCGTCTGTACTGTAAAATGCAATACACAAAATTGAATGATTTTTATCTTCATTTTGCGCAAGAAGAATATTTAGTATTAAATACTTACTATCTTCGTCGCTCTCTAACTCGCTTGGAAAGTAAAAGTCTTTCTTGTGGAGTGGTTTCGCAGACAACTCGCTCAACACGAGGCACACGAACAGCAGCTGAAGCAACCTCTTCATCTCTAATTATTTCTGATTTTGCGGCACCGTCCACCTCTCCACTTTGCACCTTCTTCGCAAGGATTATTCAATGGAAATTGAATCGCGTGGCTTGTGGTCGAATTTAAATTTATTGTATTGGCGTCTGTTAAATTCACCACGGCTGCAAAAATATGAAATAAACATCATTTATTATTTTAAGTTAACGGATAAATAATAGAATGCAGATAAATTATTAAAAAAATGAACATCTAGTTCCAATGAAAAAATACGATCACAATATGCTATGATAAATACCATCTAAGATTTGTTGAATGAAGAATTGAAACTTGGTAAATGGTCATCATTAAATTTAACTATTGCGTTTTCATGGTTGGAATCATAAAAGCGGGGCGAAAATAGAGGAGGAAATAAATAAAATATTTAAACTTCAGAAATTTATTTCAGTAAAGATGATACAAAAGGTCAAAGAGAGTCGTGTTAACAATGATAACCTTTGAAACACATGAGATAAGAATATATGAACTGAGAGAGAAAATATGGGTACAAAAATGAGAAAATGTACTAAAAAATATGTACTCAAAATAAAAACAAATTTCATTTTGGACAACAAAAGAAATGTGTTAATTATTAATATCGAGTAGCTCGTTATCAATGTGTTTCAATGTGTTAATTATAAATAGTTTTTGACAGATTCAAATTGTTGATTTTTTGTTGTTATTTGTCATTTTACTGATCGTTATTTTACAGTACGAGCTATATTTTGCTGAAGAACTTGACGCATTACTTACGGTTCTTGAATACAACTTCTATTTCATCTTCGTATTCTTCGTAAGCTTGTCCAAGGATGCTGCAGACGTTCAACAGAAGAACGACAACAAAGAAATGTAACAACAATGAATGAATAAGAAGACGTTTATTATACATTTGCTCAACGATTGTAACAAGGAGCGTTCGAGGAATCACACGTTTCTACGGCAGGTCCGGTCTCTGGCCAGTTTGTATCCCTGCGGGCAATTTTCGCCCACTCGTATAAGCTGTCTGCTCGTACCGATTGGACCATCGTCATAGTCGCCCCTCCGCTCTTCGACCTCACCGGCGCTATCGAACTGACCTCTGATGTCGATCCGAGGATACTCCGTCGAAGTTGTCGTAGTTGTCGTCGTCGTTGAAGTTAAAGTAGACGGAAAATTTGACGTTTGTCTTGTCGTTTCTTGATTGGAAGAGGCTTAAGGAAGAACAATTGAAATTGAAAATGGGCATAGCAGGAGAGGAGTATGAAACAAAACTCACATTCCAACAGATCCACATCAGTGTCGCAATCCGCTGCAAAGTATCCCTTGATGTTCCTGATCTTCTCCTTGATCTTGTTGATGATCACCCCTGATTCTACGGGCCACATGCTCCCAAGAAGCAGGCAACCCACAAGCAGCAAAGAAAATTTCGTTTCCACCATTGTTGTTGCTGTTTTATTTCACCGAGAACTTTGATCACCAATTAAGAACACACCTCGTTATGTTTTAAGAGGATCCAGCGTAACCTCGATCTTCCAACCAACAGCAATCTTTGATGGGTATAATCAGAATAAGCTCAAACCACCGAAAAACCTTTCTTATCTACCCAGAAAAAACAGTGCCTGTTTTTAATATTTTTTTTTGTCGATTACTGGATTCGTAGTAAACCCCGAAATCTCTATCCAGTATAGAGATTACGTTGAAAACAAACCGGATTGATATAAATGAAACAAACATCGCTCGGAAAGTAAATTTTCGAAAACATTCCAGACGTGACTGGAACCATCGCAATTTCATTTACATTGCTATGTATATATATATATATATATATATAAACAAACTAGTAATTGTACTTACCGTTTACCAACAAACATAACAATGAGACGGCACTGCGAATTGCAGCGTTTTTGTGTTTTTCAATCTTATCAATGTTTATAACCAGCGCCGCAGTTTCTTCTCCCGCGCTTTCCTTTCAATTATTCTATTATTTGAACTCGTCTAACTCGAGAGCGTCGTGAAACAGAAAATAGTATAATGAAGTAAAATAATGTAGGTAAATCAGTGAAGAAAGAATGCTATTCATCAAACAGTGAGATAGTAGGCTTAAGAGGGAGGCGTCGTGACGCCGAGGATAAATTTTATCCATTTCTTGATGAATTCATCCGTGATTGATGCCCGGACCGAGATATTTAAGAAAGAATCAAAGTGTGCGTCATTTTAGTTGTCTTAGGTTTTTGCTAATCTAAACAAAATTTGATTTATATTTTGTTGCAGTAACTTAACTTTATTAAATTTATAGAAGATTAGGTTAGGTTACACAGTTTTAAATTCGATTATCAAAAAACAATAATGAAGTTACATACAAATTACATAATATAATTTATTAATTAATAATAAAAAAATTATTTTATTATTATAATATTCTCAAGTGACATTAACAATTGAAAATGTTATAATTTGCTCACTTGTTTTTAATGTTTCAATTTAATATCAACATTCTAAATTTTATTTAAAAATATGTTTCAAATATTTAACAGATTTTTGTTTGCATTTTGCGGATTCGAATTGTGTTTGAATAATCATTGCGATTCTGGGAAATCCGAGGAATCCAGCAAATCGTAGTTACACATGATTAGTTTTCAACATTTTTTTCCTGACCTTCGGAATTGTTCCACGAACTTACGTAACGACACGTTGCGATTTCTAACACGATAATAATAATAAAATATAGTTTTTTTTTAATGTAACCTATGAACAATCAGTGAAAAACTTTCAAAGTTCTCAAAATTAAGTTCTTTCCTATCTAATCAAATTTGTAGGTTAGAGATTAGTACATAAAATTATACACGGTAGATATGTAAATTGATTATTTTTAACATTTATTTATTATCTATTTTAAACCGTGTAAATCGAGTACCGTGTAAAAAGAGGGTGTATATTAAATTAATGGGGTAATATCAGTTGGTACCATTGAATGATAGAAAGCGTGCCGTATTTAAAGCTTCAATTTATTGACGTTTTCGTGTTTTTTCTATCTCTTTCATTTCGAGTTTGTTTGAACTAAATTATGTCTGCCAATCTTATAACGTGTGTATTTCTGCACGCGTTTTATGTTCCTCCACTTTCTTGCATTGCGGATTATATAAATATTGTAATCTCCATTTTATAATCAAGTGCGGGGGTCGCCGAGTCCCGGAAACCACCATCTCTCTCTCTCTGTTTCTTGCATTCATTCAATGCTTTTCTCGTCTCCGTTTTTTTTTTCTCTAGGGAGAAGGAAAGGGCCTGCTTGTGTTTTAAAATTCAAATGGGGCCGTACGTCTTTGTAAAAACGTCGGGAGAGAATTTGATAAATATGTGCCCCGCGCTGAAACCGGTCTGATTTACTCAACACAACAGAAAATAAAGCCCTGAGAGGGAGAGACAGAGAGAAAAAGGAACATATATAAACGAGGAAGTGTAATATCTATATCTATACATACAGATATATTCCTGAGGCAGAGACAAACGGCCGGAAAAATTGCGACCCGAAAATAAAAATTCACGATTGCGTCTTCTTATTATTTTGCTCCAACGCAAGCAAAAAAAAACGATTGCGGATAGAGTTGCGTACACACCACAAGGCAAACTTATAAAGAAATGTAATATTTGATCGTCTCAGTTATTTTTAGGTTGGTGAACTTGTCAACTGTGACCAAACTATATGATTTGAATAAAAAAAGTAAATTATCGTGTGATTTGTACAAACCATAAAATAAAAATATATAAAAGATATAAGCAAGAAAAGAGTAAAGTATGTGTGAGAGAGAAGGTGGATTGGTAAAATCAGATATTTTTAATACGAAAAGGACGAGGGATTAGGCGGAATTAAATGGGGATTTATTGTTCGGAAATGTATTATTATGGAGGAGCGCGCGGTCTTACAGAGAAAAATGCGAAATGAAAATAGCGGATTTCCCGCTGCTCGTATTTATGTATATCATCTCTTGCACGTTTCTTTTTGTTGTTGTTGTTGGTTGGTTGGTTTCTCTCGTCTTTGTCGTACATTCTTCCATTCTTATTTCACCGCGTTGCTCTCACCGAACAGGAGGAACACTTGTCGCGATATATCACGGCGGCAAAAATCTCCAACATCTGTTGGACATTAGAATTTTCGCGTCATAAATAGAAAGCTTACGCCGCGTAATCCTGAAATATTATGGAAACGAAAAATAGGTGGCATTAAATACCGTCAGGACGTGTGGGCGGTGAAGCGCCCTCAGACGAACGTGCAGCCCAATACAAATCATTTTTCATGCGTCAATATTATCAGAAACGTCGATTTTTCCTATTTCGTTCATCACGCAAAACCATTCGTTCTTGTAAATCCCTCCGGACGTTTTTTTCACGCCACTTTCCATCTGCTGACAGAACGTCATTAATGACGTCTGTCAATTCATTTTGTGCTTTATACTTATTTGATTATAAAGAAACCTAATTATTATTAAACTAAAGTATAATTATAAAATATAGTGGCAAAAATGTGAAACATGAGACATTCACCAAATTAATACTGCGTCCGTCAAGACAAGCAATTCTGTCAGTCAAACCAAATAATATTATTCTATTTATTGTATTATACAAAAATTATAATAAATAAGAATTTTAACCTTGGTCGTTAGCCTTTTGGCCAGCCTATGAATATATGTATTCATGTTTGGCCAATAAATTATTAAGAATTTTAATGAGAAAAAAAAATAAATTTAATGATTATTAATATCTTGAAAATAAGTAAAGTTACATTACTAAAATAAGTATTTTTTTTATGTCGTATAATTTTATTCACAATCTGTTCATCAATGTGAACATTGAGTAAATTTAAGATCGTGCTTGACATTAAATGGATAGTATCCACCGGGAAGGATAGTTACCATTATGATGATTTGATTTTTTTAAATTGGTAGTTTGGCTGTCCTCTTGTAGGTTAACTTCAGTAGTATATTAAGATTGAATAACGTTAAAATTAGATAAACTTTAATAAAAATTTGTATATTCACTATATAAAGATTTGATTGTATAATGCAGTGGTGGCTCACTTTTTAGACCTCATGAATTACTAAACTCAAAATATTGACCATTTAAAATTTTGGATCTTGCGGACCACTACTATGATTTTTTTTTTATATAAATAAGATTATAAATATGAAATAATATTGACTCTTGAAATAAATCAAAAATTTCAAAAGAGTAAAATTGCAAATATATTCAAATTACTTTGCGGACCACCAAAATTCCGGTTGACGACCGCTGGGATAATGCATAGATATACTGAATTTGATATTTGTAACAAGTGTAGATAAAATATAATAATAGCTTTCCTGTCGAAGTTTGCTTTTTGGAAGTAAAGTTTCAAAGACGTTCGTTAATTTGTAATTGAGAAATATCCGCGCTCGAAGGAAGGAGAGTTAATAACGATTTCGGGTGTAAGTCGCTAAAACTGGTGGACCGGAGCTAGTAGTATATATGAGTAAGGATTACGTCGGCTGTTTGCGAAGTTACGAGGTGTTGATTTCATTAAGTGCTAGACAAACTAATATGCGGACTTGGATAAATTACAGAATACACAACATTAACGATATTTGCTTATACACTTAGGTAACGGCACCCTCATCCGACCCTCTTCTTCTTCTTCATCGGCTTCCAAGAGCGAGAGGGTCGGTGCGCGGCGGAAGGGGTGCTCTCATCCCCGAGAAAACTTATTAGCAACTGCGGCTTCGGTAATTCGATATTCAATCAAGAAAACTAACTCTTCCCGGATTCCGGATGCGTGCGTGTTCAACCGAAAGGATAACCGTATAACGAGAACGAAACTCTCAGAGAGAGAGAAAAATAAGGAAGAAGAAGAAGAAACTGGAGCAATAAAAGTGCAGAAATTGTAACGAATGTTCGGCCGTTATTAATCCGGCCGCAACGGTCCCGAGGTGGCTGTGATAAATATAAATATAAGTAAAAAGCATAAAGGGAACAATAAACAATGGTCCGGGTAGGTGTTCGTGGATGTGTTGTGTTGGGAGGGTGGTGGTGGTGATAGTGGATAGACGCTTGGGAGGTGAAGTAGAGGAGAGGCGTCTCCGCAGGAAGTAAGGTGACATTAAGCGTGAGTTATGACATCGCAAGAGATGTCTTGGGGTTGGCCTAACCTAAACCTAGGTGTGTCTCTTAGAGGAGGCTCCTTCCTCTCCCCCCTTTGGAGCTAAGACACACACACACGAATAGATCCTCCATCTCGCTCCGAGCTCGGTCCGGATATTGTAACAAGTGAGGCGTCGCGACGCCGAGGATATACAAACAATGCACGGCCGCGAAACGGATTACGACGCTGACAACGTAATTATTAATAAATCGAAATTTATTGCGAGACGACGAAGCCGTGTGTGTCCAGCAAACGAAATTCAAAATATAATAATATATGGGACGAAGCCGCACGACTTACGTATCTGATATGAATCATATTACATTCCAATTGCCACAAATACTAATTATTTTGTTCAATCGATTCTACAATTTTTTATAAATTTAATTAAATATTTTCAGATTACAATAGAAAATGAATTTTCAATAGAATATTGATTGAAATTCAAAAAAGAATAATGTAAATTCAAAATGAATTAAATTTAAAAGATTTTGTGTTTGAATTGGGATAAGAAAATATGAAGAAAAGATACAATTTACAAGTTTATTTCATTAATTTATGAAAATTAATTAGGAAGTTAATCTAATGGAGTAAAATTAAATACTGTAGTCCGGTTTCAAAATTACCAAACAAACTATATTATAATTGAGTGAATATTGGTGAAAGCGATTTCCCGCAGCATGCGAGACATTGTTATATTTGAAGCTAAACATACTATTATAAATGTAACCATTATCGAATATTAATACAATAAAACAATGGAACCTCACTTAACGAGCATAATTCGATCCAGAATTTCAGGATTTTTACTTGTAAAATGACTCGTTAAGTGAAACAATTTTTCCTATATAAAGCAATGTAAAATACGATAATGTAAAAAAGATACATCGTTTGTTTATATGTTATAATAATGGTAGGATACAATAAATTTTTGTTCTGCTTTTGCAGCAAACATAAATTATATTTGTTTAAACAAAGATGACAAAAATAATATTTAATATATACAAATTATAAAGATAAAATACACATATGTCTGAAAACAAGTTTGGAAAATGATGCACCAGTCGCACAATCCGGGACTCTCTCCTCGTCACTCGTTATGAGAGTAAATTTTGTTACAATTTGTTTAACTCG